CTATTCTAGCTCCCAACTCCTACTCATCCTTCAATGCCCCAGCTTATACGGGCCCTCTTGGAGCTTCCCTTTCCTGTGCAGAGAGCATCTCCCTCCTCTGCAGCTACTTTGTTCATGCTCCGACTCTTAGCCACTGTCTGCTCCCCTGTGTGTCAGCTCCTCTGTCTTTGTCACGTGATTATGAACTTCTTGAGGGACTGACTATGTCTGATTTGTCCTGATGTTCACAGGGCCAGGGCGATATCTGGCCCATGGCAGGTGCTCAGGTGTTTAGTGAATGTACTTTGTAAAGAGAACACTCCTATTTTAGCATGCAGTGGAGGCAGAGTTAAAAAATGGATATTATCTATTCATTTTCTGAGTAGAAGAAAATGTAACCAGACTTGAAGTTCATCATTTCTACCAGAACACTAAGTTTTTGCCAGTCACTCACTCCTATCAGAAATAAGGCTCGTGTTCTAGCCATTTCCCAGTGATCTGTGTATCAAGACTGGATGTGAAACGCTTAACACTCACTAGGGCACTGGTAGCGGAAAGGGACACTTACATTCATCCACCAGCCACGGTCATCTCATTCAGCTGATCTGTGGGAACTTAGTTTACAGTTGAGGGAATTATGATCTCATAATAATATAAGGAGCAAGTATAAATAAGCATTGCAAGGAACCAGAGGGTCAAATAAACTTAGGCTCTTTGCTTTCTAAAACTCTAGTATTCTCAGGCCATCCGTTTCTGCTTAGAAACTGTTAACAGCTCTAAGCTGTCCTCTGAATAGACTCCACCCACTTGGCCTATTGTGGAAGGTCCCTCGTTAATATCCCCAGCCTCCCTCCCAAAATGACTCTTCAGCCTCCGTCTCTCAGACTCATGTAGCCACATTCCACAGCTGCAACAAGAGACCAGTGACATGAAGGTGCCCCCAGTTCCTCCAAGGCGCAGTTCCTGCTCATGCTTCTTCTCTGTCTGGAAATCCTAATGTCCTCCCCTGAAGCTTCCCAGACTCCCTCTCTTATCCTGCCTGGCTACTTCTCATCTCTAGGTCTGAGTGGAGACAAGCCCTCAGTCTGAGTCAGGGGCTCCTCCTCAGAGCATTTCCAAACACCCATTCTTACCATCACGCTGATAAGTGTGTGCTGTCTAGTCACTAGTACATCTCCTTGTCAAATTATAAACAACTCAAGGGACAGAATCTAGTCTTCACTTATCCCCAGTGCTTAGCACTGCAGGTGCTGACAGGAGGCACTCAGATATTGGATATCTGCTGAATGGATTGATCTTCCCTCTACCCTGAAGGCAAGACTTGGCAATTGTCTACTATGTAACTGAATTCCAAGAGGACTGGTAAAAATGACCTGTGGGAGGTTCCAGTGGAAAATTCCTACTCTAGCACATGGTTCTACCATGACCAAATTAAGACAGCTGTTGACTTCAACCTACCTTACTGAAGCAACTTCTCCAAGAATCCTTGAACTAGCACCAGGTCATGTGCTCCCAGGGGTGGGGCCAAGACACATTCATCTACAGCCCAATAAAGATTTTTGAATGAATGACTAATATTGCATTGGGTAAGAGCACCCATTTTTATTTCTATTTAAGAATGCTTTAGAGATGAGGCTTTTAAGATGCTCTGAGGAAGAGAAATGGAGGGTACAGGAATCTCTGGAAAAGTCAGCTAGAACATAAATGCCTAAGTCCTCACAGTGGAATTGAGGCGCTGCCCCATCTGCCCGCTACTCTCAGTCCTCACCTCCTTCCGCAGGTTCCTTGTTCCTCCTGCTCCATTCCTGCTGGCTACTTGGGGTTTGGTAAAGCCCAAACACATCTTCCACCTCAGAGCTGTGGTTCACCTACTCCTTCTAGCCTTGCTCCTTCACTTTCTTCAGATCCTGCTCAAATAAATCCTCATCTGGGAGGCCTTCTCTGACACCCTATGTAGAAAAGCAATCTCCCTTTCCCTCAACTCCCTAACTCTCTGGCTTGGCTTTATTTATTTATTTATTTCCACAGCACCTGTCACTGCCTGATGTAATAAATGTATGTTTGTCACTTGTTGATGACCCCTTGGTTCTACTTAAATGCAAGCTTGTCGTGTTCTGTGCTGTGTCCTTAGCACCAAGAGCAGCACCCGCCACCTGCTGCATAGTCCGCACTCCATGAGTGTCTGTTGACTGAATGGATGTCTGGATGGATGAATGCCCCATAAAAGCTAACAGGCAAGGAAGAAAGTGCTGTCTTGCCAAGTGCAGGACCAGGACACCCGCACCAAATCAACTGACCCATCTCTCTGGGTCTTGGAAATAGTTTGGTCTGAAGAAAAAAAGCCGCTGGGAGGGTTTTCAGCTAATATGTCATGGAATGAAGGAAAAAGTCAAGAAGCTAGGAGAGCGGTGGACTGAAATTAGACATGACAGAGCAAATCTCCTAATGGCCAGGTTGGAAAGGCAAGCTGGCCAAAGCCCAGGCGAGAGAGGGCATTTTATTGAAGAGGAGCTCTGTTAACAGCTTCTCTCCTCTTTAGCTGATTGGGACTTAGTGGAGTTTGTGAACAAGGCCTGCCCTTAAGTTTTAGGCTCACGGTTCCAGTGGAACCCAGATATGGGATTAAGGCTAGATTTAAGTGGCTCTAAAAAAGGGTGGGCAGGGCAAGGAGCTAACATTTGCTGAGGTCTCCTATAAGCAAGAAACTGTGCTCATGTGTGATCTCAAATAATCCTCACCCCCAGCCTGTAACACACTATGAGAGGGACCCCCCAAAAACCTGGAATTATCTTTTGGAGGACAGGCCCCTTATAGTACAGGCTTCCACTGCTAGATTAGCGTTCCAGGATCCCATCAGCATCAATGTACAAGTTAGCATTGCTGTGAGAGGCTACGTTTGCATGAGCGAGGTTTTTTTGGAGATTCTTTCAATGCGTCTGCCCATTTAATGATAGGTGATTTATGAGTGCACCTGCCCACACCATGCTGAGTATTCAGCAGTTTTTGACCAGAAATGGCATGACCACCACGTCCTACCCTCCCTATTCACCCAATCTTGCTCCAAGCAACTTTTTTTTTGTTTCCCTATGAAAAAAGTCCTCAAAGAGAAACGTTTTGCTGATGTAGAAGAGGTGAAACAAAAAATGACAGAAGCACTAAAAGACATCAAAATTGACAGGTCCAAAAACTGTTTTGAGCAGTGGAAAAAACATTTTGATAGATGTTGCATCAAACGGAGAGTACTTTGAAGGCGACTGAAGTTTAAACATGTAAGAATAAATATACAATTTTTTATAAATAAATTCCATTTTTGAGTCCCCCCGCCACCCCCATAAGTACTGTCCCCATCATACAAGTGGAGAAACAGAAGCTTGGGAATTTAAAATGATCTAAGTAAAATCACTGATCCGACACATAGCAGAGCTGAGATTTGAAGTCACATCTGTCTAATTCCCAAAGCTTTTCTCCTTCCTCTGAATTATGCTATAACTCACGGACCACTCCGGAGAAAGAAACCACAAGAGGAAGAATGGAAGGGGTACACGATAAACCTGTTCCCCAGAGAAGGAGGATTTGGTATAAGGAACAAGTCTGGGATAAAGCAATTCTGGGGACTTGGAAAATGTATTATGTGTGTCTTACCTTCTATCCTATGCTCAATTTCATGAACTGCTTCTGATTTTACTTTTCAAGGAAACTCTAGATATCTAGCTGGGAAAGAAGAGCTTTAAGGCAGAGGACGGCGGTAGGTGGTCCTAGCAACTAGCGCGAAAGTGAAGGGTATGGCATCTCAGCGCACGAGCATTTCCTTCTTGATTGCTGACCTTGTACTTTATGGGTAACCTGGGCCTCTCTAAGGGAGATGTGTTAATACACAGAGTCCAGGGAACTGCATCCTCAACCAATCTCTAGTCATCTGGGAGGAACATCAGCCGATATCAGGTGCAAGGAGATGTGGACATATCCTTGCACATAAGCAGGAAAGTGTCCATACTGATGGGGAGGAGGTGAGGGAGAAGAGTGGTAGCAAGGTAACCAACATGTTGACAGGGAAAAGGGCAATGGGAGTGGGTAACTGAAGCCTGTCCATTGCAATTGCTCTTGGATGATAACTTCATGAGCTGAATTAGTCTCTAAAAATGGTATAGCTAGGCTGGGCACGATGGCTCACATCTGTAATCCCAGCACTTTGGGAGGCCAAGCTGGGAGGATTGCTTGTGCCCAGGAGTTCAAGACCAGCCTAGGCAACATAGTAAGTCCTCATTTCCACAACAAATTTTTAAAAAATTAGCTGGTTGTGGTGGCACACACCTGTAGTCCCAGCTACTTGGGGTGGGAGGATCATTTCAGCCCAGGAGTTGGAGACTGCGGTGAGCCATGATCATGCCACTGCACTCCAGTTTGGGCAACAGAATGAGATCCTGACTTTAAATGAATAAATAAATGAATAAAAAAATGTCATAGCAAGTGGGATGCAAGTCAGGTCCCCAACATGAGACCTAAATTCCATCTCATGTTGGCTACCAAAGAGCTTCTCCTGCTTGTCTAAATCTGGTTGACTAGGGTGGGCAAAAAGGAACACTAATTGGCTCAATCTTATATGAATTCTGTAAGGAAAAAGGAACTTAAATCTATAGCTCTAATCTGCTCTTTCCCTGCATGTAGTTCTAAGCTACTCTACTTCATGTCTAAATACCCAAGAGACTCAAGACAGTATGAATCCCACTCAGTATACAGCTATAGAACCCAGAGGCCTCTAGCCACTTCAAAATGACAGTTATCTGGAAATGTAAGCCAAATACTATTTGTTCTTTTTTTTCCCTTCATCATCCTTTAAATTTATGTGATATTGGGAGGCATGGCTTCTAATCAAAGATGACAAATCCGATCAAATTGCCATCCTTAATACTTTTGAGTCTTTTATAAGCATGCATATTATATACTCCCTATACTACTACAATAATGTTACTGCTATGCATATGCTATGCATATGCTATGCACCAAAGCCATGTGTTTCTTACCTGGAAATATCTCTTGTTGATTCAGTTTCACCAATTCAGACTGATGAGATGAACCAGCTGAGCAACTGTCTGGCCCAGGCAAGTCGGGCTCCTCAAATCAGGACTGTGGTCTCCTAGAGTCCTGTGGTTTCTCTGTCCTGAAGATGGTAGTACCCTGCTAAAAGGGAATGCAAGACATGTTACTATCAGAGGCAATTTCTTATTCTCCTCTAGTCACAATATTGTTCTAAGGAGAACAGAGCGAGTCACAAGATCACAGATTACCAGTGTTGGAAGATATCGATGAAACAATCTCATCTAATGCTTTCATTTTGTAGTTGGGGAAATAGAGGCTCAGAGAAGAAACTGCTTCATTCAAGGATTCAGCAGTTTGAGAGTACAATCCATATTGAAACATGTTTCTGACTTTCTGGCCTTTCTGCATTTTTTAAAAAATGCAGCCACATGGTCAGACTGACTTCTCAAACAAGTGGCCATTGACCTTGAAAAGGAAGTCTTAAAAAAAAAAAAAAAAACACAAACAATTTCAAAAAACCAGATTTTCTAAAAGGGAGGTGGCACTTTTTCCAGATTGCTGTTTTTGTAGTTTTATCCCTGGGAGCTAAATCAGTAAAACAGCCCACTCCAGGCATGTGGTTGCGGTGATTCTCCTTGTTTTCCATTAGAAAAATATTGTTATGGAATACCATGACCCATGAACACAGTGACACAGTAGGGGAGAATTCTGTTTTTTAGTGAGAAGCACATGTGTACCTAGACATCTCTCTCTTTCTCACTCTCTGTCCATTTCTACATCTCTCTGTCTCTGTCTCTTTGTCCCCATGGTTCAGCAAAACACAATAGCAGATACAGACTCTCCTTCCATGTTTATCATTTACCATGGAAATTTTTTTCTGGCTACTGTACATTTGAATGGCCAAGCCTCCATGTAGAAAACCAAATCATAGGGGAAAAAAGAAGGAAATTCGCACCTGTTAAGCAAATATTGCCTGGCATATCATGAGAATTATATTTTTTTCCAATTTGTCCTCCAAAAAATCCCTGTGAGATACCTTTAACTCCATTTTTCCAAAAAGGTAGAAAACCAAGCTTTTGAGAGCTAGAATGATCTTGCAGAGTCATACTGAGATTCAACACAGAACCTGAAATGAACCTATGTCTAACTCCTAAATCTATTTTTGTCATCTAAACTGGACTGTAGTTAAGTTATTAGGTCAAAACATTAGGAGTTGTCTGTTTTTTCCAACATTTTAACTCAGATGCGTAAGAAAGTTCTTTGGAAGCTATAATTGCTGTAAGGACATGAAAGATTATTCTTATTAGATTCTCTTTATGACAGAGGGGCTCTAAAAACCAAGGCTTCCGGCTGAGCTCTCAGCTGGGGCTTAATCCCCCCCCCACCCCCAGCAGTGATGGCAGTGGCAGCAGCAAGAGGGCACCTCAGGAAGTCACGATTATCAACACTGCCTGGCTCAGGGCTTTGTTCCTGTTCTCAGACAAGGGACATGCCAAGAGGGATGGGTGGGGGTGGAGAAAGAGGAAGAAAAAAACAGGAAGTGAAGGGGGGTAGGAGCGAAGGAAATGATAGACAAAACACAGCAACTTTGAAACGTCCTTGGCCTGATGAGAAAGTGATTTCTGGGTCTAATGAGAAAGTGATTTCTGGGTCGGCATTTGTGGAGCTGAGCCCTGCATTTTGGGAAACCAGGTCATGATGGTAATAGGGAGGGTGCAAAGGGGGGGTGTGGCGAGGAAAGAAGTTTATTCCTTTTGGACTCAGGGTTGGTGTCCATAAATTCCATTTCCTAGCCGGGCTCGGTGGCTCAGCCTGTAATCTTGCGCCTTTGGGAGGCTGAGGTGAGTGGATTGCCTGAGCCCGCGGGTTCGAGACCCGCCTGGGCAGTGAGACCTCATCTCTACAATAAATCAAAAAATTAGCTGGGCGTGGTAGCGCGTGCCTGTAATTCCGGCTACTCGGAAGGCTGTGGCGGAAGGATCGTGGAGCCCAGCAGGTCAAGGTTGCGGTGGCCAGGAGCGGCCACTGCACTCCAGTCTGGGCAACCAAGTGAGACTCCAACTCAAAAAAAAAAAAAAAATTCCATTTCCTACCATACAGCACAGCCTGACATGAAGCTGTTTTCCCATACATTCAAGTGTAGACACCAAAGGTGGTGGATTTCCAAAGGATTCGGGGGTAAGATTCTATCTATCACTTCTGGCTGTGGCTGAGGCCAGGTGTGTCACAAAAAGGATCTGGAAACAAGACAGAAGCTGTTGATGTGATTAGGTATCAGGGAGAGCTATCTTATCTTCATTGCTTTCCTTTCTCAAATGTTTTCAAAATTGGAACCCATTTTCAGTATATATGGTGGTGGGCCTAGCAAGAGTGCTGCTATCTTCCACAAAACCAGGAGGGATCGCACAGCAGAACACTAAGCCTTCTTCAGATCATGGTTCCAAGGTGCTTCCTGCAAGTTTTCCTGTCTGTTGTGTTTATGCTACATTACTTAGAGATGCTTACAGAAGTCCCCAACTCCAAATGCACATCATTAAGGTCAGCAGTCACCTGGTAAGTTGAACAATCACACAGAGATAAACCTAATAATAACAACCTAACACTACTTCATGAATGCTGATACTCCTTTGCAGACTGCTAATGAGTACCAGGAGGAGGCAGAGAATGCAGAGACCACAAGCAGGCAAACCCTCAGATACCAGTCCCCCTACTGCAGTGGTTCCCCAAACTAGCTGTGCATCTAGGAATCTAATAAAAAATACAGACCCAACTCAGGGTAGAGCCATGAAAGTTGTATGGCTAAAAATCTTCTAGGCGGGTTTTAGTGTCACTGACCTGACACTGACTGTCCATGGACCACCACCCCAAATCCTTCTACCTCATAGATGTGACCCCAAAGGCCCTACATAGGCAGGGGCTTATTCAAGGTCCCATAGCTAATGGCCTCCCAGGGATCTGCCTCAGATTCTATAAATTCCCTTCCAGCCCCCCAAGATCCAAACAAACACAGAGCAACAAAAAGTAAGTATATGTTTGAGAAGGTTTTGAAGTGATTGCTGGTGGTTTACTGTGAGTCACCCATGGGCCAAATATCTGTTAGGAAGAATGCAGATCAAGTCAGGAAAGAAACTTAAAACTCCCATTTCATGTCTCCACAGGCAGCATAACCTCACATAATACCAGCACTAATTTGCTCTCATCACCAGCAGCCACAGATGGCCTAGGCTGCTTCTCCTCCATGTCTGGTGGGAATAAACACCAACTAAGACCATTGGGAGTCTGCCCTGCCAGGTTGTACCTGGAAACCCAAAAGATGCTTTTTAATATCTTGTCTTTTTTGGTCATTTTGAGAGAGGTACAAAGTAGAGGGGTAATAACTCCATTTTAAAAATGGAGAAGCTGAAATCCAGAGACATGGGATGACTTATCAAGAATCATAAAACAGAACCAGAACCTGAATAGGATAGGATCTCCTGGCTTCCTGTCTAGTGACCTTTCTATTACATCATGTGTGTCCCCATTGGCCACTCCGCCCCTGCCCCTTCAGTGGGGCTGAGGAATAACTTTGAACAGCTGCCTGGCTTCTACATCTGAATGATTCCAGAAATGGGAAGGCAGGGCAGGGGCAAACCAAAGAGAAGGCAATACATATCATATGAGGATGAGAGGGCCTAAAAGACCACATTTGTATCCTCCAGGATACATACACAAGGGACCTGAACCTCAGCAAGGGAGCATCTTCTGAAAAGTTCCCTCACAGCAGACTCATGAAACTCAATCAGAAACTCAGCGTGGTCTCCTTCCCACAATACTGAGCACAGACCTTGTTCAGATAATAAAAATAGCCAACACTGATCAAGTACCTACTGTGTCTCAGGCTTTGTTTAGCACAATCCATCTAGTAACTTCCTGAAACCTCATGGCAACCATACTAGCAGGCATTATTACTGCCTCCTTTTACAGACGAGAGACTGAGGCACAGAATGGTCAAGTCATATATCCAAGGGATTCAGCTTTAGAGTAGTAGCACCAAGATGGGCATTTAGGCAGCCTGGCTCAAATTCTGAGTAAAATTGTGGCAAGAAAGAATAAAACAAATGCACTAGGAACAGAAGACTCCTTCATTCAAAAGGAGAGAAGGAAAAAAAGAAACTTTCCAGACAGGGAATATTGAAAGGTACAGTACAGGCAAGATCAAGAAATTGGTTTCTGATCCTCCTTGGATGGAAGCCACCAGTGTCAGCCAACAACAGTGACATCCTGGTCTTGGTGTTTATGCAGCACCACTGTGAAGGGAGGGAGTGGCTAGACCAGGGAGGGGACAAAGGGAGGGTCTCAGATGGGAGAGTCATCAGAGTGGGTGGAAGAGATGATGTCTTGGGAACTCAGTTCCCATGTCCCAGGAGATAGAGCATCAGGGCAGGCAGGCAGGCAGCTTCCTATCTAAAATTCCCAGCACCAGCAGTGCACACAGTCCCAGAGACACCAGGCTTTGGGGATGCTGCCTGGTTTCAGCCTCATGAAGCCTGGGAAGCAGGGAAAGAAAGGGATTATCTCTCATCATTTCCCTGATGAAGCGACTAAAGCCAAAACAGTTACAGTCCTAGAATAATAAGAATGACAGCTACCATTTGTTGGCAGTCTATTATATGTCAGGAGATAAACTAGATGCTTTACGTAGGTTAGTGAGCTACTATCCCAACTCTGAGAGGTCCATATGATCGTTCCTAATTTAACATGGAGACACACTCAGTAATTTTATACAGGTCAAAGCTAGCAGGCTATGAGAAAGGATTTGAACCACTGTTGATAGGACCTTTAGGCTTATGATCTCACCTCGAAGCTGCGTGTGCTGTGAAATGGTTAAGTGACTTAGCGGTGACTGCACAATGGTGCTAACCTACAGTCAACTTCTGAGCTGTCCAAGCACACAGGCACAGGCTTTTACTTCCACTTACCCCCCATGCTACATGTCTACACTACATGCTGCTAACCACTTCCAAGTACACGGTTTCATACAGTTGGGGAGATATCATGGCTTATCACCCAAACCTGCCTGATACTTCTGAGAGTGAAAGGGGTCCAGTAATATCACTGGGACAACAGGCAAACACTGGGACTGTCCCGGGCACACAAGGACATAT